GCCAGGGAGTAGGGCTGGAGCTGTGACCACTGCTCTGGAGAGAAGACAGAGAAACAGGACAGAGAGGACTCAGGCTGCAGGCAGTCCAGAGAAGAGCCAACCTGCTCCCTGGCAGACTAGCCAGCTGTGGAAACAGCTGTGCAGCAGAGAAGGGGACCTACCCTCTTCTTCTGCCCTACATCCCAACCCTGGTGTGGGATTTTGGGGGCTCCTAGGGCAGACCTCTGGCCAGCTTCCCTTCTGGGCAGGACCTGAAATTTAGAAGCTGAGGTCCCTGCTCCCCCACTTCTCAAGCCAAAGTCCAAGGGACCCAGTCAGGGGTCCAGCTCCGTGGAGATGCCAGCAGCTCGTCGGTTCCCTGGCCTAGAACTCTCCTTTCCTCTCCTGGCCAGACTGCGGCGAAGACTATACACAGTGAGTGGGGGGCTGGGGCCAGGCGGACTGGCTGGAGACTGGATCAGCTCCTCAGAGCCAGCACTTCACTGAGGGGCAGAGAGCAGGACTGGGAAAAGCGGAGGGACCCCTTCGGTGAGGGTTTGACCGGGGGTCTGGGCTGAGTGGCTTCTCCCCTCTGGTGCTGCATTCTTGTTGGCGAGTGTTAGAAGGGTGTACTTGGGAAATGTGCATGCCGCCTCGAGAGCTACACGTGTCAGACATAGGTGTGCGGGCTCTGGGCTCCGCTGGGGCCCAGGCACATGGGGGACAGCTGCAGCCATGCTCTGTGCTTCACAAAGAAACCTGGGCTGGAGGGGCAGGTAGGGGTGAGGGGGGGACTTGTCCAGGGTCATCCTGGGCTTGGTGGTAGAGACAGGACTGGGAGCCTGCCTGCTATCTGCTCACTGGGATCCCAGTGTTCTCAGTCTTCCCACACACGCCCCTCTGTTGCCTGGGCTTGGGGAGCAGGGAGGAGAGTGTCCAGCTGAGTTGGGAGATTTGTCAGCTGGTATTTCAGGGGAGAGGAACAGGTTGGACTGTGCTCTTCGGGGGAGGGACCTCTGGGTCTTCCCTAGCCCTGAACACCAGAGCATGGCTTTGGGCTGTCCTCAGGAGTGGCTGCCTCCTGCCCCAGAGGAGGGTGGGCAGGGGGACCCTGGAGCTGGGGCACTGGGGAAGGAGAGGAGAGGACCTTCAGACCGCTTGCCCTGGTGGCAAGCCCCATCTGGAGGCTGAGCCATGTTGGGGAGGGGTTGTCCGTGAAAAAGCTGGCCCCGCCCCACCGGCCCGGCCACGGAGACTTTCCGAGGGCAGTGATGTCACAGTGCACCTTTGGGGTTTTCTTCTGGAAGGCAGTGGTGTCCCTCCCTCTTAAGCCCACACCCCTTGTTTATAACAGATGGTTTTCTGAGGATGAGTTAATACTGCTAAATGCTTGGCACTGTGCCCAGCATATAGTAATGTAGTTGAAGTGTTAGTTATTTTTATTGTTATTCTTAAAATTAATAGAAATATAACATGCTTACTGTGTATGTTACGTTCAGTCAGTCAACAAATGTAATGCCACCTGTACTATAAAAGAGAATTAAAAGTAATTACACCACTTCATGTATTCTGTGTCAGTGCACTCTGACAGAATGAAGTCGACGCTAAGACCTCCTGTAGCACCACCACGAAGCACCATCTACAAGTGCTGACTGGGAGGGGTGTTTTGAAAGAGTGAGGATGGGTTGCCTTCAGTGACCTTTTTTTTTTTGAATAGTGACCAACTTTTGCTAAGTTCTGAACAAAGCAAAGGCCAGTTTTCCCTCAGTTAACACAGTACGCTAGTTCCATTCCAGAAAAATTCGGTATGTATCAAGACTGCAAAAATATTTTTTTGTTCAAATGTAAAATGGAATTCGACTCTAGATTCAGATGATTACAAACAAATTTTTCACCTCCGTGAATGAAGTTGTATGGGATTTGGGACAGTGTGTGAAGCTCTCCTGTGCATTACAGGGTAACTCACATTCTTGTCTCCCCTAAAGACCACCAGTGGCCCCCCAACATTGTGACAACCAGAAACGTCCTCTAGGGGGCGGTCCAGCCTTTGTGAGAACCTTCTGGGTAAAGGGTTATGGCTTAAAGTTTGGAAACCCCCTGTGGCCCAGCCACCTTGGCAGGAGAGCCAACCAGGGTTTGAACTGAGGTCCTCTGGTTCCCATTTGTCACTCTCTGTACTGCCCCGAGCTGCCTGGGAAAGTCTGAACTCCTGGCATTGGGTTGGCAGCACCTCTGGGAACTGTGGGGGCAGGAGGCTCGTGCTGGGCCCAGGCTGTGAGCGGCTCCGAGAGCCTGCTTTTCAGTGTGACCGGTGATGAGAGCTGAGGGACAAGGCAACCTCTGAGTTGGGGAGGACGGGGTCGCGGGCAGCTGACCTTTTGCCTCTTGCCCGTTTCCTCACTGTTAAATACCTCTGGGATTGAACATGGGCCAGGGGCTGGCCTGGCCAAGCTCTCAGCTCTGAGGTGCCTTACTTGGACAGGGATGGGCTTGGTGTCTGGTGGGTCAGGTTGCTTAGTTTTGAGGGTGCCACTGGCCTCTTTCTCTGGGCCCAAGAAAGTGTAGATCAGAGGTCACTCACTGGTGGGGCTTTGGCTGATTGTGGCCTGCAAGCACGTGTTGTTTGGCCAACATAGAGTATGTCATGTGAGAGTGTGTGTGTGTGTGTGTGTGTGTGTGTGTGTGTGTGTGTGTGTTTCAAACTTGAATTAGTTGACATAGTTTAAAAAGTCAGGAGATACCTGGCCGGTTTGGCTCTGTGGATAGAGCGTTGGCCTGTGGACTGCAGGGTCCTGGGTTTGATTCCAGTCAAGGGCACATACCTCGGTTGCAGGCTTGATCCCTGGCCCTGGTCGGGGGGCCTGCGGGAGGCAACCAATTGATGTGTCTCTCTCACATCGATGTTTCTCTCTCTCTGTCTCTCCTCCTTCCTTCTACTCTCTAAAAATCAGTGGAAAATATCCTCTGGTGAGGATTAACAACAACAACAAAAAAAAAGTCAGAGGAGAAAGATAATGTTAAGTGAAACAAGGAACAGAATGATGTAGGAACAGTATTTGTGTGTGTGTGTGTGTGTGTGTGTGTGTGTGTGTGTGTGTGGCGGGGGGACACAAACTCTGGAAGCCCTGGCTGGTTTTGCTCAGTGGTTAGAGTGTTGGCCCTTGGACCGAAGGGTCACAGATTCAATTACCATTCAAGGACACATACCTGGGATGCAGGTTTGATCCCTGGCCCTGGTTGGGGCGGGTTGGGGTGTGAATGGGAGGCAACCAATGGATGTCTTTCTTTGTCTGTCTCTCCCACTTCCTTCCCTTCCACTCTCTAAAAAAATCAATGGAAAAAATATCCTTGGGTGAGGATTAAAAAAAAAAAAATAAAAGCTTTAGAAGAAAGCTCCTCTTTAAAGAACAAAACAAAATCTGGAAAGATCTGCAAAGTTATTGATGGCATCTAGCTTTGGGGAGGGAAGCTAGGTGGCTGTGCAATAGAGGAGGGAATGAGACTTTATGGCTCCTGTGTACCTTTTGAATATTTTACCATGTGCTTATATTACCTTTAAAAAAAAATTATGGCAAGACTAGAGACCTGATGCACGAAATTCGTGCAAGAGTAGGACTTCCTTCCCCTGGCTGCCGGCACCAGCTTCCCTCTGGCATCCGGGACCCAGGCTTCCCTCTGGCAGCTGGCAGGCACCAGGGACCCGGGCTTCCCTCGCAGCCCAACTTCGTCTGGAAGGACGTCAGGAAGGACATCTGGTCTAATTAGCATATTATGCTTTTATTATTACAGATTTCACATATAGATAGCTAGTATTTCTTGAAAAAATTGCAAATTTTGGTAACACTGGGCCTCAGTCTGTTGTGATAGCCATTGACAGGAGCTGAGCAATGCTGCCTCTTTGAGCTGGATCTGAAAGCCCCCACTCCCTCCAGCCCTTGCCTGTCCCTCTGTCTCTCACTCGTCCCTCTGTCTCCCACTCGTCCCTCTGTCTCCCACTCGTTGTGGTCCGGGAGGCACTTGTGGGGAGGGCTTTGGGTTGGGGAGAGAGGCTCTGCTATATCAAGCATTGGGAGGACTCATCTAGCCCTGAGTCCTTTCTGTGGGGTCCCTCAGATCTGGAGAACCAACCCATGGAGGTGTCTCAAGGGACCCTGTAACCTCCAATTTTTTGAGTGAAACTTTATTATTAAGAATGTGTTATTTTCCCTGGAGACCAAATCATTTTCATCAAATTCTCAAAGGGTTTGTGACCCCAAGAGAGTTTGAGCCGACAGGGAACCTGAGAACACAGAGGTTGATCTCAGGTCACCGAGCCACAGATTTTTTTTTTAATTTTTTAATTTATTGATTTCAGAGAGGAAGAGAGAGAGGGAGAGACGGATAGAAACATTAATGATGAGAGAGAATCATTGATTGGCTGCCTCCTGCACACCCCCTACTGGGGATCGAGCCCGCAACCTGGGCATGTGCCCTTGGCCAGAATCGAACCTGTGACCCTTTAGTCTGCAGGCCAACGCTCTATCTATGAGCCACACCAGCTATGGCAAGCCACAGATTTTGTGAGTAAGACCCTGACTCCAGCGCCTGGGCTGCCTCCCAACTGTCCTAATTCTACCCTTGTTGCTGGCGAGAAAGGGGGCAGGTGGGTATCTGCTATTCTGTGCAGCTGTTTTGAGGAGCAAGAAGGTGATTTTAATCCGTCCTGGAAGCAGCAGAGTAGGATGTGGGTGAGCCCAGCGCACTCGGGCAGGGTCCCCTTTTACCTCCCTGTATCCCTAGGTCCTGGATTCATTCTTTTTTTTAAAACAACAACGATAATATTTTAAAAAATTATTTATTTTAATATATTCATTTCTTTTTTTATGGCTGTCTTTTAAAAAAAAAATTTTATTGATTTCAGAGACGAAGGGAGAGGGAGAGAGAGAAACATCCATGATGAGAATCATTGATTGGCTGCCGCCTGCACGCCCCACACTGGGGATCGAGCCTGCAATCCAGGCATGTGCCCTGACAGGGAATCGAACCATGTCCTCCTGGTTCATAGGTCAATGCTCAACCACTGAGCCACGTCGGCCAGGCCCTGATTCACTCTTTCTTCCCCACAGAGGCTGGGGAGCAGCAGCATGCAGCCAGAAGAGGGTACAGGCTGGCTGCTGGAGCTGCTGTCCGAGGTGCAGCTGCAACAGTACTTCCTGCGGCTCCGCGACGACCTCAATGTCACCCGCCTGTCCCACTTTGAGTATGTCAAGAATGAGGACCTGGAGAAGATTGGCATGGGCCGGCCTGGTAGGTGGGGACGTGGGCCTTGCTTGTCGTTTCCCCACTGACCATTTGCCTCCTCTGTCCTCAGGATTGCCAAGCACATGGAGGAGCCCTCCCCCCTATATTGCATGGAGTGGCATAGCTGAGAACCCTCCCTGCCTGTCCAAGAGCCTCCGGGTGGGGTGGAGGGGCCTCCATAGATGCTGCACACAGTCAGTGCGTGAGGACAGTTTGCACTTGTAAAGGTGAACGGGACTTCGAGGAGTCTCACTTAAAGCTCTGGCTACTCAGAACTAACTACCGCCCTCTGGTTTGTTCAGACATTTGTAGGATGTATTTCTTTCACCTTCTCTTCCTTTATACCTGTGCCTGTAGAATTGAGTCTGTCCTATTCACCAGTTTGAACACCAGGGTTCAGTATCCAGAGATTTGTGTGAAGAAGAGAAGATAAAAACCCTCAGATGGTTTGCTGATTTTCTCTTGATCTGTCTTTCTTTCTCTGTCTCTCTCACAAAGATCTGGTCAATCAGGATGTATTGATCCTAAAAGTAGTGGTTGCAGCATATAGAACTCATGGTGTTCCTTATCGGACATAGAAACTTATTTGTGCATTCAACTTAAAGCAGCTCAATAAGTAATAGTGTGCTGAATTAGACATTGACTTCTGCTACTTTTGGCCTGGATAGTTGGTGTCTGATGCCAGTAAGATAATAAAATTTTATGGGAGAAAAACTCAAAATTGGGAAAAGTCTATTACCTTGATTTCCTTTGCTCTTGGAAATTGGGAACAGAGAACTACTGTTCAGTGTTGGTGGTTAAATACCTCCGTCCAATTCAAGAATCACTGCCTAGAAATGGAATGCAGGATCATCTAATAATTGCAGCCCCTGGTTGGTTGGGATGGTTTGTTTCCTTGGTTTCATTGTGCTGGGCAGTATCTAGTGGTGGACTCACCACGGGAGACAGAGGGAGCCTGCAGTGGGCAGCAGCCTCTCGGGGGGCGTGAGCCATAATAACATTGGGCTCCTGTCCCCCCTGCAGGCCAGCGGCGGCTGTGGGAGGCTGTGAAGAGGAGAAAGGCCATGTGCAAGCGCAAGTCCTGGATGAGCAAGGTAGGTGGCTGAGGAGTGAGACGGGCGGGAGCAGCCTCGTGGGGCCCCACTCTGATGTCCGTCCTAGAAAACTCCCCCCGTTCCTGGGCAGTATAATCTCACACTTTGTACAGACCTCCCTCCTCCAGGATCTTATCGGGCAGGGCACTTGTGGAGCTGCCTGGCTGAGTGTCTGTCTCCGCTAGAGACGGCACGTGAGTAGCCTGTGTACAGCCAGGGCTTCACATCCGCTCCGGCTCTGCGATGGTGCCGGGCCTGCAGCAGGCACTGGCTGACGAGTACACCGTAAATGAGCCCTTGCTCTGTCTGAGTTTGGGGGCTGGTGTCAAGCCTGGGGTAGTGCGGACCTTCTGGACCCAGGACATCTTCACTTTGCTTCCCTCCTCCCCGCCCTCCTCAGTCTGTGGAGGGTTCCTCTGGTCATCTGGCCTTGCTGACAGCTTCTTTCCCTCTCCTTTGTCCTAATTTGGGTCTGTGGAGTGGTGAGTCCCTGGTCTGACTCAGTGGAGCTTTGCCCATTGTCTGGAAGACAATGCGGGAGGAAATGAAACAGCCAGGGCCTTCCCTCCCCACTTCTGGCCTCGGGGCTGGGGTGGGGGGCAGGCAGGGCAGCACAGTTGGACCGGATTGGACAGCAGAGATTTCCTGGCTGCGATCTGGCAAAGGGGCTGTCTCTTGGGATCCTGTGGCCTTTTCTGGGGACACTGTCCTGGTCCCTTGCCCAGGTTTTAGGGAAGAATGAGCATGTTGGGGCGGGTGAAGGCAGGAGGGAAAGGCTGTGCAGTGTGCCAGGTTTCCGGGGTCTTGGATCTACCGCGGACTCGCAGGAGGTTCCCGGGCCGGTCATTGAACCTCTCCAGACTTGAGGCGTGAGGCTTGTCTTCGGTCGGACGGTGCTGCCACACTTGCCCGGCTCACCTCACCTCACCGGCTGTGTGCACTGTCCTGTCAGCTGAACATTGTTTGCAAGCATCAGGGATTCCAGTTACTGGGAGGAAGGACAGAGCAGCAGCCAGAAGAGGCCCTCAGATTGGAGACTGTCCGTCCAGATAAGACTCTGCCAGCTTTGGGGGCAGGGGCCTAGCTGGGTAGGCTCTGCAGCCTGAAGCCAAGGCTTTGTAGGGGTGGCCAAATCCAACTGACAGGCCAGCCCTGACCCTCAGGGCCTCCTTCCTCCTGTTCCCTGACTTTTGTCCCCTTCCCTGTCCAGCTCAGGCTGCAGAGTTCTTTCTCGTCTCCCTTCTTTCTCAGCCCTCAGCTCTCGGCGGCCCTCCAGAAACCCAGCTGTCTTCCCAGGCCCTTCCCCAGCAAGGCCTTGCTTCATCTGCACCCCCCACACACTCACAGGCTAACCTCAGGCTCAAATTATCCTCTGCTCTGGCAGGAAGAAGGGCAGCCGGCTCCCCGGGGAGGGTGGAGACAGACAGCACCAAATGGGCAGCCCAGAGAAGGGGCCAAGGCTAAAAATGGACAGAGAGGTGTTTGTGGCAGGCCCCTTAGGCTCCTACCCATCTGCTCCTGTTAGGGCCTGGAGTCTCTTCTGGGGAGGGGGTGCAGAAAGGGATGGATGGGGTAGAAGGTGGTGCCTAGAGTAGCTTTGGGCTGCCCCGGATCCCCCACCTGGGTGTGGGGCCACAGTAGCCACAAGCTACATGCCTGTCAGTCCATTTCTGCCACACACACACACCCCCTGAGGCCACACTGAAGCTCTGGGTTCCTGTTTTGGGGGTGTGGTCAGGAGGGGGCTTGGACCTCCAGCCAGCCCCCCCCCCCCCTGCAGTTTGGCAAAGCCAGGACCTATCTGGAGGCTACATGAGGGAGGACTGTGGCCTCAGGGTTCCATCTGGCCTCTGGCTGCCTTCAAACAGGTGTTCAGTGGAAAGCGGCTGGAGGCTGAGTTCCCCCCTCATCACTCTCAGAGCGCCTTCCCGAAGACCTCACCCACCCCTGGTGGCCCCGCAGGGGAGGGGCCCCTGCAGAGCCTCACCTGCCTCATTGGGGAGAAGGACCTGCGTCTCTTCGAGAAGCTCGGAGACGGCTCCTTTGGCGTGGTGCGCAGGGGCGAATGGGACGCCCCCTCGGGGAAGACGGTGAGCTGCCCGGGTCCTGTGGGTGTAGCAAGGGGACAGGCCCCCAGGAGACCGGCAGAGACCCACTCTGCCCTCAGAGTGGCTCTGTCCCCTTGGCTAGGATGTGAAGGGGGCTGGGGACAGGTTGCAGAGTTCTTGCCCTGGATTCTACTCTCAGGTTTAACTAGACACAGCTGTTTCTTTTTAAAATTATACAAATAACTTATTATAAAAGTTTGGAAACTGTTTTAAAAGTAAGGGGGAAATTGCTGTACTTTCACCAGCCAGGAAGCAGTTAGCATTTCTGCCTTCCCCCCCGCCCCCCCTCAGGTATTTTGTTGAATTTAGTTAAGATACAAATTTTGAATACAACTTCTAAATTCTTGCCCTTGTTCTTGGTGTTTTATTTGAAATTTCCCCCCAGAGGCATCCATAGCATGTATATAATAAAGGTGCAGCTCCTGAGTGTCCAGCTCAGTGAGTGTTCACCTGTGCACAGACGCAGGCAGCCACACCCAGGTCATGGTATCGGCATTTCCCGCCACCAGGGCCTCCTCCCTCCTGCGCTGAGTGTTTCCTCCCTCCAGGGAAGGCCACCGTTCTGACTTCTGTCACCATAGATTAGTGGTTTGGCATTAGATTTAAAGCATTTTTCTCTTACACCAAACCATTTTTAATGTTTTATAACACTTTATCACATTTTAATACCCTATCATCACACTGGTCATCTTTACCAAATGGTTGCTATTTAATCTGGGCATTCCCTCAGGAAAGGAAGGCCCAGCCAATGGCCCTGGGGGTCGGCCAGCTGCCCTTCCCCAGCCAGGCCAGGGCACCTGTGACATGCTCACCCACCCAGATGAGCAGATCTGAAGCCAGGATGTTTGAGCTTAGTTGGAGGGAGGAGCAGGTTGGCCCAGAGTGTTGGGGGCTGGGGGCTGGGGCCTGTCCTGACTCCGTGCAATCTCCACTCTGGGCAGGTGAGTGTGGCTGTGAAGTGCCTGAAGCCTGATGTGCTGAGCCAGCCAGAGGCCATGGACGACTTCATCCGGGAAGTCAATGCCATGCATTCGCTTGACCACCGCAACCTCATTCGCCTCTATGGTGTGGTGCTCACGCCACCCATGAAGATGGTGAGTGCCGTGCGTGGGCGTTGGCTGTGGTCTCCGGGCCCCAGGTCCGCCCCTTCTCCTGCCTGTGCTGTGGTTACTCCCGTCCTGACAAAGGTCAGAGGTCCCCCCAGATCCTGCTTTGGTCCCCCACCTGATGTGGCAAAGGGGCTCACAGGGGCCCCTAGCCTGGGATTGGCCGTGTCCTTCGGAGCCCATGCCCACCTCTGGGTTTTGCTTGTATTCATTGGCAGAGTAACACCTATGGGAGGAGCTGGTCCTAGAGTGTAATCTTTGGAATTTCTAGCATGAGCCTCTTCGGGTTGCTTCTCTGGGCCTCAGTTTCCCACATTGCCGAGAGAGAGAGAGAGACTGGGGAAGCTGTAGGACTCCTAGAGGTCCACAGAGGCCAGGCCAGGAAGGAGCATTGAGCGTGGCTCTGGCAGGATGCTGAGGGAGGGTCAGGGCTCAGCCACACTTACTCCTCCCACCTTCTCCGTGGCCTCAGGTGACAGAGCTGGCGCCTCTGGGATCGTTGCTGGACCGGCTTCGCAAGCACCAGGGCCACTTCCTTCTGGGTACTCTGAGCCGCTATGCTGTGCAGGTGGCTGAGGGCATGGGCTACCTGGAGTCCAAGCGCTTTATTCACCGTGACCTGGCTGCCCGCAATCTGCTGCTGGCCACACGCGACCTGGTCAAGATCGGGGACTTCGGGCTGATGCGAGCACTCCCCCAGAATGACGACCACTACGTCATGCAGGAGCATCGCAAGGTGCCCTTTGCCTGGTGAGGGGCCGGTGCCGCCAGCTCACAGAGCCCGGGCCCCACCCCACCCCACCCTGGTCCCTGCACTCCGAGGCTCGGAGTATCTGGATCCTTTATACCCACAACAGCCCTGGTCTCCTCTGGGCCCGGGGTGTCCTTGTGTGCCCATTCATTCACTCATTCATTCAGGAATTTCCATGTGCCAGGCACTGGAACACACAGGGAAAAGGGCTTTCTGGAGGACTCAGTATTAAGCTCCTAAAATATCAGAAGTTAGCCAAGTAAAGACTGGTTGGTAAGCATGTTCCAGGAAGAGCTAGTGGAAGGCAGGGCCAGGCCAGGCTAGACTTTGTCGACCGAGTAGGGATGTTCACCTGCACACAAGGTGGTCCTTGGCCCTGCCTGGCCCCGGTGTGAGCCAGTCCTGTGCTGAGACCAGCGTCATCTTCCGGTGTCGAAGGCACCCACAGGAGCTTGGTCTTCCTGCTTTGAGGTGGGAGGAGTCGGTCTGGTTCAGCTGGCCAGAAAACCTTCTAATCCAGGATGTACAGTCACCCTGCTTAGTAACTGACCTGATACCTAGGGGATCATGCATCCTGGGCTGTGCCTGTTGTCCCGGAGGAATTGATAGCACCCCTTTCATACCCAAGCATCCTGGTTTGGATGGTAATTATAAGGTCACCTATTTTTATGCAGCCCTCTTGAAACAGCTCTGTGAAGTGAGCAGATTATTATTACAGTGGGGCCTTGCCTTACGAGTGTCCCGACTAACGAGTTTTTCGAGATACGAGCCGTCTTGGCCGATTTTTTGCTTTGAGTTGCGAGCTAAAATTCGGGTTACGAGCCAGCTTCAGATACCCCACCGCTAGTTGGCGCAGCGAACGTCACAGTGAACGCCACATCAGCCCAGCATCGAGTGTCTCACTCGTTCATTTTTTGATTTGACATACGAGTAATTTGAGTTACAAGCTCCATCACCGAACGAATTAAACTCTTAAGTCAAGGCCCCACTGTATTCCCATTTCACAGATGAGGACTAGGAGGCTGAGAGTGACCTTCTCTGGCCCCACCCCCTTTGAGTGGCAGGGCCAGCTCTCCAGTCCCATGAGAGGTCCTTTGAGTCTTCATCCAGAGTGGCTTCCTCCTCACGCTGCGCCTCAGCGCTGCTGGAATTCCCCTTTGCCAGCCTCGCTGCAGTGGTGCTTGTCCTCCTCACCCAGAGGGCATCCCAGAGAGCGTGTGCGGATATTGGCGTGAAGCTGGTGGACTGTTTTCACCCGTTTTTGTTCTTCCCCAGGCCCTATCCAAATTTCCCACCCACACCTTCCTGCTGAAATGACCCAGATGCTAGGATCCTGCCCCAAATCTGGAAGTTGTCATCCTCCCACCACAATTATTAAACAGCCGAAGCTCTGTCCCCCTCCCTCTGCCCCTCCTAGAGCCTCTGACCGTCTTCCTTTCCCTGCTTTCCTGCCCTGGCAGCTTCACCCTCTTCCCACTGCAGGCCGCATGTGTGTAAAAACCTGAGCATTCATCATTTTCTGCAAGTCTGTGTATCCCATAGTTCAGACGCACTGCCTTTCCCCGTCATACGTCCCTAGTACCTGCTGTTGAGCCCAGAGCATGGGGCAGCAACATGTTTGTTGAGTGAGCATTTATGTCCACTGGGGCTGATGTGGGCGGGGATGCTCGGAGAGGCCTCTGTTTGACCCCTGCCTTTGCCAGGTGTGCCCCCGAGAGCCTGAAGACACGCACCTTCTCCCATGCCAGCGACACCTGGATGTTTGGGGTAACGTTGTGGGAGATGTTCACCTATGGCCAGGAGCCCTGGATTGGCCTTAATGGCAGTCAGGTGAGGGGCTGGGGATGTGCTCCCTGTAGGGTGGGAGGGGGTTGATTTGATTTCTGGCTCCCAACCTGGCCCTGTTGGAACTGGCCTTTACCTGTTGGAGTCCTGTCCCCCAGGCTCCATATCTGTGTGACCTCTCAGAAAGCTGAGAAAAGACAAGGGCCCCCAGAGGTCAGGAAAGGAGGAGGTGGGGCTTGCTCCCATTCTTAGTCCTTGCCACAGCCACCTGTTCAGAGGCCCCAGACCTGGGGATAAAAGTGAGGCCTGGGGATAGACTCTGCCCCCCTCTTCTCTGGGGTGCGGGCATGGCCGCCCAAAGCGCCAGTTGTTCCATGGGCCGGAGGGAGGGTGGGAAGTGAAGAGCTGGGTGCTCTGCTTGTACTCAAACTGCACCCCCTCTCCAGATCCTGCATAAGATTGACAAGGAAGGGGAGCGTCTTCCCCGGCCCGAGGACTGCCCCCAAGACATCTACAATGTCATGGTCCAGTGCTGGGCTCACAAACCAGAGGACAGACCCACCTTTGTGGCCCTGAGGGACTTCCTGCTGGAGGTAAGGGCAGGTCTGCCCACGGGTCCTGGGGTATCCACGCAGGGGTCAGTCCCAGAGTGGGGAGTGACCTGTCTCTGCCCTCAGGCCCAGCCCACTGACATGCGGGCCCTCCAGGACTTTGAGGAACCAGACAAGCTGCACATCCAGATGAACGATGTCATCACCGTCATCGAGGGGAGGTAGGGAGCCTGGGGCTGCACCTGCACTGCCTTGAAGGGTGCAGGCTGCTGGCCAAGAGGTTCTCCAAGGTCCTGCCCCCAAGGTCCTCTTGGCAATACGCAGGCTGTGGTAGGCTTGAGCTGCGCAGTGGCAGGGAGGACAGGCTGGGTCTGCATCTGAGTGCTGGGGGTTAAGTCTGCAGGTGCACCGCTCAGAGGGATTTCCCCGCGAAGTCCGCCTCCGTCACCCTTCTCCCACTCGGCTCCAGCCTGGCTGTGTGGGTCAGGGCCAAACTGCCATGGTGGTGAGGCAGCCAGGCCTCAGGGCCACACCTGGAGACGCTGGAACTCCTAAACATTCCTCCTCTCATCCTCCCCTTCCCTTCCCACCTCCTCCCAGGGTCAGGACTCTTTTTTTTTTTTTCCTTTAATTCTCACCCAAGGATATGTTCATTGATTTTGGAGAGAGAGGAATGGAGAGAGAGAGAAACATCGATGTGAGAGGAAAACACAGAACAGTTGCCTCCCACACCTGCCCCGACTGGGGATCAAACCTACAGATTAGGGGTGTGCCATGACCGAAGTCAAACCCACAGCCTTCTTCGTGTATGGGACGATGCTCCAGCCAACTGAGCCACCCAGGTGGGGCCCGATAAGGACTCTTAACTACACAACTGGGTGCATTTCAGAACCCCAAGGCAGCCCCACGCCTATCCTGGCAGCCTCCACCCTCCCTCCGAGCCCCACTGCTGCCTCCCAGGGCTCCGCTCCGTCCTGCTGGGCCCCTCACCCTGGCCCCCGTCCTCAGGCTCCCCTCTCAGGGCCTCTGTTCCTGAGCCTCCCGTGCCCTTCCCTCCTGCAGCATGTCTGTCTGCCTATGGGCAGCATCTTCTGAGTCACGTCTCCGACCAGCAGCCCCCGCAGGCGCCTGCCTTGGAGCCCCACCCACCGCTCACCCCATCCTCTGTTATCTGAGCCTCGGGGTGTCTGAGGAACTGGTTGGGGCAGGGCAAGCTGGAGGTGCCTTTGGAGTAGGTGGTGGGCATGGAGGGCCGGAAGGGAGGGAGGGAGAGGAAATTCCCTGTGCCCCGGCTCCTCTGATTCGGAAGCAGGCAGGGATGGGGGCAGAGGCTGTTTCCCCAGAGTCCTTTCCACCTGGGCCTCGAGCTTGGGGGGTCGGGGCCTTTGGTTAAACCTTGTGCCACGTGGGGGTTGGTGACAGGGCAGAGCCTCTGGGCTGAGTCAGCGATGGAGTTGGTGCTGGGACCCAGGCTGGTTGTGGAGGAGCATGACCTGCACCTGCCGTGGCCCAGCACCTCATCCCTCGGCCAGGCTCCCCTCGCCTTTGGGCACAGTATCTGGGAATAAGAATTAAAACCAGCGTGTTGGTGGCAGTGGATGAAAGCAGAGAGCTTCTAGGATAGAGGCCTGAGGGGCAGGAAGGAACATAGGCTGTAGTTTGGAGCGGAGGGGCCAGGAGAGGGACTGCAGGCCTGGCCTTTTGGGGAACTTTCTGGAAATAGGAAGATTAGGGTGAGGGCCCCTCTGGAGGTGCATGGCAGCTCGCAAGCCAGAAGTCTGGGCTACAGCCGTCCCCACCTCCAGGACCCCAGGACCCCGGCCCCTCTGTGCCCTGCACACGCCGTTTGGGGCTGCTGCCGCCCCAGGGGGTCACAGCCCTCACAGAGGAGGGTCCAGGCCCTCACTCGCCCTGGCCCTGCTCTCGTGGGGGTTCTGGGTGCCGGGCCCGTGTTCCTCGGGTGACTCAGAAGCGCCTTGTGTTTCTAAGGCGTGTGTCTCTGGAGCTGGCACCCCGGGTCACCTCCGGAGCAAGGGAGGGAGGAGGAAGGGGGAGGGGGAGGAGGGGACCGCTCCTCCCAGGAGGCTGCTGTGGGCATGCCCTGCCCTGCCTTCTGTCACAGACTCCCTGCTGCCTGCCAGTGTGGGCTCGCCGGGCTCCTCCTCCAGGGCACCAGCGACGTGGACCACAGCGCCTGCCCTTGGTCCCTGGAGCGTCTCGGAGTGGGAGGTGAGGGGCGGGAGGCCGTAGCCGGTAGGGCTTTGGGAGTGGGCCCGTAGGTCAGTGGTACCAGAGCTTTAGCTCTGCCCCCTGTCTTCTCAGTGCCCGGATCTCGGTGGGGCTGGCTCTGTCTCCGTGTGTCCGGGTGGATGGGCTCTCTGCCCCTGTGTGTCGCTTTGGGTCTGTGTTTGTACGTGTGGGTGGCTGGCTGTTTCTCTGTCTCCTCTCAGCCTGGCTCTCAGCTCTCTCCATATCTGCCCTCTTCTGTCGGTCTCGAATTAGTCTGCCGGAAGCTATCTCCAGTATTGGTTTCCTAGTCCGGAGTCTGGGAACCCCCTTGTCCTCGGCTCTGGCTGATTCTGTATGTAGTTCAGTGCTTCTCGGGGTACCAGGCAGTAGGCAGAGAGACACCTCGATGTTGTGTGAGCCACGCTTGTGGGGCTTGGTCTAGAATGGGCGGACGGTGCCTGTTCGTCTCCGGGGTTCTTACTTGGAGGCTGGGATGGCTGGTAGCACTTCTCTCTTCTGTGTTTACAGAACTGAAAACAGGGACAAGGCTTTGCAGTCCTGCAGGTCCCTGGCCTGGCCTGGTCCCTGGAGCCTCCGATGCCTTTAGAATGTGGGGCAGGGGGAGGCAAGGTCTGTGTTGTTCCTCGAGCCCATGGCTCCTGGGGCACCAGAGGGAAGTGGGCTGGGTGGGTTTGAATGTGTAACCAGCATCTGTCAGCCATTTCTGGATTACCTTAGGCCAGGACTGGGACCGGGGCTGGGATTTCAGAGGCTGGTTCCCAATGGGGCTGGGGCCACTGTAGCCAGACCTGGGTTTCCGAGGTGATGTGTCACATTTTGCCTGTCCCAGGACACTGGCAGGAAGCAGGAAGTAGAACATTCTTGCTGGAGGTACTGGGCCCTCACTCCCCTAGGGACTCCCCCTCTGTGTCTGTCTTTGCAGCAGTGACTGATGGCATGGTGGGCCTGGTCCTCTTGTTGCCGTGGAGACTCTGGTCTGTTGGTGGAAGGGGAAGGGAGGGTGTGGCCAGAGCAGGCTGGTGGGGAGCACTGGGCTTGGTACCTCAGTCCCACTGAGCCTCAGGGGACGCAGCATTGGCCAACTCATTGGCTGTCTCAGGAGGTACATTTGAGTCTTGTCGGGCCGATGTGCTTGGGGTGCAATTCCCAAGGGGCCTCTTTCACACACACACACACACACACACACTCTCACACTCACACACACACACACTCACACACACTCTGCACTCTGACTTCCCCCCTAGGAACAGGATGTTTTTGAGGGGCGTCAGGACGCCCAGCAGGCATGGGGCTCTCACCTCGCCATCCCTGTAATGAAGGGAGGTGGGCTTGGCGTCCCATCTTGCTCTCCGAAGTGAGTCCACATGAGGCTCCTGTGGAAGGAGCTTGGCTTGTTGGCAAAGGAAAGAAGCAGATCGAGTGACCTCCTGCCAATCTGGCTTTGCGCAGGCCACACCGGAGGGGAGGCCGTGGCCTCGGCCTCTGCACGGCATCTCCACCTCCGCCGTGCTGCTCACCCAGGATAGCGAGGGCCTCTGACGAGGCATATCGAGCAGAGTCCAGCGTTCCGCCCTGGGGCTGGTGTCTAAAACAGTTCTGTGGAGGGTCCGCAGAACCTAGGGAGCCAGTGAGTGTTGGGGAGAGCAGCAGCGGGTCCCCAGTGCCAGGCATGCCTCCCTCCCTCTTCACAGGCGGCCCCCCCTCCGTCGGCCCTGGGGTGGGGGAGCATTTTCTCCTTGGAATGGCCCTGCTATTTTCGGATGGGCTTTCTTCCTTCCCGGGTGTTGTCCTCTCTCCTTCCTTCCTTTCCTGCCCTTCCCACCCGGAGGGAGGGTGGTAATCACAGGGTGGCTGTGTCTGTGGTGGCCGGTCAGTGGCTTTGTTTACAAGGAGGCTGGGCTCCTGTCCCTCGCCTCACCTCTCGGCTCCCCGAGGACTGTGATGCTCATGGGATCGACTTTGGGCCTCTGGAAAACGCCGTTTGGGGCTGCTGCTGCCCCAGTGGGTCGCATCCCCTCCCAGAGGAGGGTCCAGGTGCTCAGGCCTCACGGCGTCCTTCCAGCCTCCAATCCCTCCGGCCTAGCTGCAGTTTGGAGGAGACTTTCTTTACACTCCTGGCTGTGGACAGGTGAGGTATGGGTGGGGGCTGACAGTGAGAGCATGCAACTGGGTGCCACACGAGTCCACCACAGCAGCATGCGGCTGTCACCACCTCTGCCTTGGCCCCGATTCTGCCCATGTCCTCAGGGTGAGTGGTCCCAGCCATAGAGGCAGGAGCCTTAGGGCCTGTGGCTTATTGGCGTTTGAAGTGTCCAGGAGGGCGCTCTGTTCTCTTTGCCTTCCTGCTCCCCCCCACCGCCCGCCAGGAGGCTCAGGCTGCCTACCAGGTTTTGTGTCTGAGGTCAGAGCGAGGTGCTGGTGGTCCAGCCACACTGGGAGGCTGGGCTCCTCTCTGTATCCTGGTTTAAGACAGGAGAGCTCCTCCAAGGAGGTGGATGGGGCAAGGGCGAGGTCCCACAGCCCTGCCGGGAGCTGGTGGAAGGCACTGGAGACATGTAAATGGGTGCGGTGAAGTGTGGGTTGCCCCAAATGCTTCCACACGTGTGAAGAGCTGCATGTAGGAGATAGGCTGTGGTGGGAGCGCTTGGCTTCACGCCCAGTGCTAAGGCCATGGCGCTCCCTTGGGCCCCTGAAGCTCAGAACTCTTGGTACTGGGCTGGAGCGTGAAATTGGGTGGCAAGAAAAGGACCAGAGCCCAGGCCTGGTCAGGGGAGGAGGCAGGTGAGGTGATACTGTTGGGAGAAGGGCCCTGGCTTTACAGACTAACAACTGGGTTTGAATCCTGGGTCTTCTGCGATCTTTCCGGTAACAGCAGGCAAGCCGTGTCACTTGTTTGGACCTGTTTCGTTATTGTGAAGTTTAGGAAGAGCTGCGTGACCCACCTAGGTAGCTTAAGGCTTTGTGCAAACAGCCAGGCCCTGTGCCCCAGGTGTGGTCATGGGGGGCTGCTGGAAGGGGGCGGGCTGACGGCAGACCAGCCTGGTCCTGGGCCGTAGCCTTCCCGTCTCCTCCTGCCAGCGGGGTTCGAGAGCCTCGATGAAGAGCGTGGTGTGGAAAGGGTCCTGCTCCTCGGGCCGTCCCACCACACCGGTGTTTACCATGCCATCTCTCTTGGGCAGGGCTGAGAACTACTGGTGGCGCGGGCAGAACACACGGACACTGTGCGTGGGGCCCTTCCCCCGAAACGTGGTGACCTCCGTGGCTGGCCTGTCAGCCCAGGACATCAGCCAGCCCCTGCAGAACAGCTTCATTCACACGGGCCATGGCGACAGCGACCCCCGCCACTGCTGGGGCTTCCCCGACAAGATCGATGAGTGAGTACCGGGCCGGCCCCGGGGTGCACGGCACAGAGAGCTCCTGTGGGCAGACCTCAGAGCTCATGTTGGCAGCAGTTCAGCGCTTCACCTGCCTGCTCACTCTACCTGGGAGGGGGGCTCCGTCTCCTTTAAGTGAAAGGATGAGGCCCCTGGGGGGCATCTGGGGAAGCAGAGAGGAGCGGAATTAGTCACTTCCTGGGGGCCCCGCCCCAGGGTTCCCCCAGGAAGTTCCCCCTACCAGGTCTCTAGCCTCTGCTGCCCGGGGACTTCCAGGCCCCTCTCCGCAGCCCTGGCTCCTCTGACTGCGGACACAGTACTGCCTTGGGGCGTGGCGAGGCAGGCCCCTCACCTCCACGCTCCCCACACCAGAACCCTACGCTGTGTATGTCTCACTCACAAGAGCCAGGTGAGGGCCTGAGAGAGTTGGGGCAGGAGAGCACAGACACCCTCCCGAAGGAGGACGGGTGCCCTCTGCCCTGCTCCCGGCGTGCCGTGGCCAGCCCAGCCCCATTCCTCCAGGCTTTAATCAGCCCCGGTGACTAAGTCCCAGATCCTGACAGTCGGCACAGGGGTGAGGGTGAGCTGGGAGCAGGGCGGCGGCCCCGCCCCTGGCAGTGGGGCAGAAGGATGTCTCCTGCCCACCCTGACCGGGGAGTGTAGCCGGATGCCTCCGGGCCTGGCAGGAGAGAAGAAAGCGTGCCAGCAGGTGGCTGCTGGGTGTGGGTTGGGGTGCCGTGGGGGTTGCAGAGGGCCAGCTCTGCCCTTGTAGGGTGTTCTTGGGGCCCCGACAGTCCTAGCCGTTTGACTTGCAGCCAGGAGTCCTTTCCCTGCTCTCTCCACAACACCCTCCCCTGGGTACAGCTCGGCTCTCCAGGAGGGAGCTGCTGGGAGTCAGAGTCCTGTGCCCCAGACCCATGTCTGCAGGGCTCGGTCGAGGTGGTCCCTGGATGCCTGACCCCAGGGGGCAGCCCCAGCATCTCCTCCAGAGGTGTCCTCGCTGCCACCACCCCAAGCCGCCCCCTCTGACCCCGTGCTCTCCCCACAGACTGTATCTGGGAAACCCTATGGACCCTCCCGACCTGCTGAGCGTGGAACTGAGCACCTCCCGCCCCACCCAGCATCTGGGAAGGGTGAAAAGTAAGAGCCCCCACTCTCTGGCGTCCCCTAGTTCATTGGCTGCCCAGGGGCACCGTCCTCTCAGGCCACCTCCGAGCCGGCTGTCCTGGCTCTGTGATGGTTGGGTCAGCACAGCAGGGGGACAGTCGTGTCCCTGGCTCCAGCTGGGTGTGGGGTGGGAGATGGGAGGCAGCTGTATCCGCCGAGGTGGGCCTCCTCGGTCGGCCCTGCACCGGCTGCCTGAGCTCTCTTCACCCTCCTCCTCCTCGCCATGCTAGGCCAGGCCTTCCTCACACACTCTAATCCCGCTCTCCTCTCCTAAGCCAAAACCACCCCACAGGCTTCATCTTGGCCAGGAGCCTCATCCACCCCCTGGGCCCTGGGCCTGTCGTTCCGGAACAGCCCCCCATCCTGCCGCCCATTGCTTCCCATTGCTCTTAGTCCGTACGTTCACTCGCCCCTATTCACTGCTCTCTCTCTCTCCTCTCTCTCTCCACCCTCTGCTCTCTGTCTGGCTCTGCCTTCCTCCCTTGTCCTCTGTCTGTCCTGCTCTGCCCCCTCTACTCTCTGCATGGCCCTTCCTGCAGGGGAGCCTCCACCTCGCCCACCTCAGCCTGCCATCTTCACTAAGAGTAAGTGGGGCTGCTCTCGGCGCCTCGGCCCCCGCCCCCTCTCCCTCTCTCCTCTCCTTCCTCCTCTCCTGGAAGGTACAGAGCCCTGTGGCTGGCTGGGTGGGATGGGGAGTGAGTGTGCTGTGAGCTTTGGCTGCTGACCTGGCGCAGCATGCCTGTCTCTCCTTTCAACTCCCCCTCTCCCCCGCCCCGCCCCCTCCCAAAAAAGCCTGGGCTTCTGGAGCAGGCCGGCGGTCCTGGTGCCCACCTCTGCCTCTCCACCTGCCTGGCCTGCCTCACTCCCTGTGCGACCTGCAGAGGCTGGGCTTTCACGATGGTGGGCCCGGAGCTCCTGTTGCTCTTAGTGGTGGGAGATTGCCCATAGCCCCCGCCTGCACTAATGGTGTGTGGTAACGGGGAGGGAGAGGGGCTACTAACCAGGGGCAGGGGCATTTGGGGTCTTGTGTTGATGCAGGGGCAGCAGAGGCAGGTGGGTGTGGGTGTCGCTCTAGCTGAGGGAGGCAGGGGCTCACCCGCCCAGGTGGAGGGCTGACAGCGTCCAGGGCAGGCTTTGCCCTCCTGTGTGAGTGGGGTTGCTGTGCACTGAGAATCTGGCAGCTGAGGGCCAATTTCTGGGGGAGTCGGTGGGGGACACTTGGCTTTCTCCCCACACCCCACCTTCCCTGTCCCCTGCCTGACACTACCCCCCTGTCCGGGTCTCCCGTCCATTGCAGAACCAACCTATGACCCCGTGAGCGAGGACCAAGACCCCTTGTCCAGTGACTTCAAGAGGCTGGGTGTGAGGAAGCCAGGCTTGCCCCGGGGGCTGTGGCTGACAAAGCCCTCGGCCCGGGTGTCCGGCACCAAGACCGGCCGCAGTGGCGGTGGCGCTGAGGTCACGCTCATTGACTTCGGCGAGGAGCCGGTGGTCCCGTCCCCACGGCCCTACACACCCTCGCTGGCGCAGCTGGCCATGGATGCCTGCTCCTTGTTGGACAAGA